TTCTAGAGACTCCATCGAGTACCCATATCTGTAAATCATTATGGGAATAGGCTGCTTTTCTTTCTGACCATTGGTATATTCAAACTGCAAACCTCTTAGTTAGCAGTCTAATAAATTGTACACCACACCACCAGAGCTCTATAATTTACCAACAGGAATGAAAAAAATCATAAACATGACCTAACTTCTTGATCCATTGTATTTTTTAATAATAACAATTTGCGGTACACATAAAAACATCTGTAGAAGGAAAACCACTAAAAATATATAACAGAAAATCTTGGAAACAATCTCAGTCCTACAACCACAGACAAAGAGTGATACATTGATTATAGCCCTTCTATGAGAAAGAAAAATACCATGAAGAAACAAAAAAATAATATTTTAAAAGAATCTTAGGGGAAGGGAGCTTTGTGGCATAGTTCATAAGGAGTTGTGCTGCTAACCCAAAGGTCACATCTGTCTCTGGTAATTAAAATTCACTAGCCACTCCAAAATACGATCATGAATCTATGCCACCTGAATTTCAAAATAATTTTAAGAACATGTTTGAAGCACTGAAAACCAATGATCAAAGACCAGATGATTTGTGGAATGATATCAAGTAGAGCTGTTACTATAAGCCATCAAGTTGCCTGTGACCCCATGTACAGTAGCCTTAAACCCTGCCCTATCTTGTGCCAATCTGTCTCCCACACACCTACCCGCATTACCCCAGTCACTGAATCAATCCACCTTCAAGAGGGTCTTCCTCTCCTGCGCTGTCTCTCCACCCTCCCAAACATGACGTTCTTCTCCAAGGACTGCTCCCTCCTTGCAACATGTCCAAAGTATGTCAGACGAAGCAGCAGAATCACTGCCTCCAAGGAGCAGCCTGGTTTCACCCTCTCCCTGTTTGTTTTCTTAGTAGTCCATGGTATATTCAATACTCTTGTCCAGCACCACAGATTAAAGGCACCAATTCTCCTTCTATCCTCCCTAGTCATTGTCCAGCTCTCTGATACACAGCAAGTGACTGCAAAGACCATGGCATGTATCAGGTGCATCTTAGTCTCCAGAATGACACCATTGTTGTTAAGTACTTTGGAGAGGTCACCAATAGCAGACTTTCCCATGGTAATATGTCTTTTAATTTCCTAGCTGCTGGTGCCGAGAGTGTTGACTGTGAAGCCAAGCAAACTAAAGCTGTG